CACAAATACTTCTGGGGGGGGGGGAGTGGGGATACCAGTTTCTCTTCTAGAACCTTCACTCCAGTTGGAGAAAGATACGTCCTAGGGAGATACAGGACAAGAGACACCAAAAAGGGGAGCCAGAAATGTGAAGGGAGTTGGAGGAAGGAAGGACTGTTCTAGGTCCAGCATCAGTAAGGCTCCCCGGGACAGGTGGTGTTGAAGGCAGGTGCTGAGGACAGGAAGGGTTTGGGGCACGGTGAGACGGAGGGAGGGCATTCCAGTCAGAGGAGATAGTTGCAGGGGGTGGGGGGAGGCAGGGTGTGGGCACAGAACTGGGGTCCAGTTTGACTGCAGGGCCACAGAGTGGAAGAGTAAACTGGGCTGGCTGGCAGAGAGCCTAGAGGGGCCAAGCTAAATGTCTGATGACTTCTAAACTAGTAGGGGCAAGATCACAGGTTCTAGGATGCTGGAAGGGGAGGGGAGGGGAGAAGGAGAGACATCAGCGGTATGTTTACCCTCTTGGTTCTGCCACCTACTGGCTGTGTGACCGTAGGCAAGTTACTTAACGTCCCTGGGTTTCAGGGAATAAAAAGTACCTACCTTATAGAAAGGTATGACGATTAAATAGGTCAATACAAGCAAAGTGTTTAGGACATGGTCCACAATGTAGCAAATACGATATAAGTGTTAGCTGCTATTAATTTTTATTACTATGACCCCTACCACCCCCACTAGTCCACGTGAGAGGTCATGAGCGGGTTGCTGGAACAGGTAGTGAGCTATGGCAAACCAGCATTGTCAAGAAGTCAACACAGGTCTTGGGCCCGGGGCATGGCTGCGGGAGCAGGAAAGGGGTCAGGGTTGACCAGGTAGACACAGAAGGAAGGAAGAGCTGGTCCCAGGTGGGAAGTTCAGGTGGGAAGGCTGGCCACAGCTCTGCAGGTGGAAATTTGCGAGCCTGGGGAGAGAGCCCATGACAACCTCAGAGCCTCCACAGGTACGAAGGCCACTCGGATGATGTGTTGGTCACAGACACGTTCACGGGAAAACCATGTAGTAGGCCAGCTCCAACCCTGCACTGTGCCTCAGTTTCTCAATCTGTCCCATAAGGGTGTGGAACTTTTAGAACTGAATACACCTCAAACTTTTATTCCAAAGTCTCCTCCCAGCTGAGGAGAATAAACATGGACTCCTGGGGGGCTGGGTGTCGCCCAAGGACCTGGCCACAAGCACATTTCTTTGAAGTCTTCTGGGTTACCTTTAAATTAGCCTGTATTCCACATTTCCACTCTCTAATTATAACTGTTTTAATATTAAAGCAATGTTTTGTTCTCAGATCCTCATGTGAAGTGGGCACTGAAGAAACGCCCTGTTTATTCTGAGGTTTCGTGCCCTCCCAGCACCCCACCCTCACCCTACCGTACCAACCTCTCCGGCCCTAAATGGCTGCACCCTGAAGTTCCACGTGGGGGACCATCGCCCCCTGGGGGCCAGCCAGGGAATCTCCCAACTCCCAGGCTGGGATTCTCCGCCTTCTCCTCTCCCTCTCTTCACACCCCCAGGGTCCCGATGGCCCCCCAGGGCAAGTCTGGGGTGGGCCCTCCTGTGCAGGCAAGTCCCTGAATGGCTCTCAGGGGCCAGGAGCTGTGCTGGCTTTGGGAATAGGGAGTGAGACACTGCCCCCACCCTTGAGGACGTCATGGTCCTTGAGGGGACAGAAAGCTTGACAAACAGGTAATAGCCAGGGGGTGGGGGGTGCATAGGAGCACCGAGGAGAGGTATTTACTTCAGACTTTGGGGGTGGAGTGCGTGTGCAGGCAGAGAAGGCTTCCTGGAGGAGGAATAAGACCCAAAGGGAGTCTCCAAAGATCCACAGACCCAACCAAGTGAAGAAAAGCTAAGGGAGCCCCAGGGGAGGCACTATGGAGTGAAGCACAGAGGCTGAGCCAGCAGGGCGGTTCAGAGAGCCTTGAACAGCATAATGGGGCTGACGGTGGCGGTAGGCAGGGAGGGAAGGGGCAAGACCCCAGAGCCTCCTAGGGGTATATGTGAGTTTACTTATGCACACCCACTGGTTGCAGATTGCAGGCTGCTGGGGTGTGGAGGAGCTTGGACTCTACCCTGTGGGTAAAGGGCTCTGCAGACTCTCAGCTGGGGTGAGGGCGTCTTTCGGAACCTCCTCCCCACTCCTCTGCATGAACCGGGCTGACGCAGTAGGGGGGATGCACAGCCAAGGGTTAAGGAGGGCAGCGAGGTGGTCAGACTGCCATTTTGGAGGAGCCCTTGGATTACTGAGTGGAGGACGGTAGGAGGTGGGAAGGCCGTTAGGGGGCCGTTGCAAAGCCCCCCACGCGGGGGAGATCATGGCGGTGGAGGTGAATGGGAATGGAGGGAACAAATGTCAGAATGTGTAGGTGGTAGGATTCAGTTGTGGACTGCATGTGGGGTGAGGGGCAAGAGGTGTCAAGGGTGACTCCCGAGGTGCCCCCCATGATGACCGCCCAGGAGTTGGAGCCTGCTGGCCAGGGAGAGGGGACAGCTGTGGAGAGGCCTTCAGTTTGGGAAGGCTGAGTCTGAGGAGAAGCCAGCAGACAGCTGGACATAGGAGTCAGACACCCAGGGGGATGCCGGGGCCCAGGAGAAGGGTCTTTCCTGACAGAAGCCTGTTTTCCCTTCAGACAATTTGGACTCTAGAAAGGCCTTTCAGTGACCCCCGCCCCATACTGCAAGCCCTGCCAGAGTTGAATTCCTTTTCTACCTGATGGTGTTTCTGATGGGGAAAACAAGTCAACCCAACCTTGTCTGCTTTGAGCTTGAGAGATCATGGCCTCTTCAGAGCCTGTCAAGCACCCTTAAAAGCCAAACTCCCAAAGATGTAATCCCTTCGCTTCACTTCCCTAAAAATCTCCTTAAAGGAAGCCAGAGAAGGAAAGGATGGGGCCTGCTTCTCTCTGCCTGGTGGGGGAACAAAGACAGCCCTTCCCTTGGCTGATGCAGAAAACAAAGCAATTAACTGTGAGGATCAGAGCCCTTTCAAAGAAATTCACCCACGCTCTATCTTCACAATGGCCTTGTTCAAGCGAGTTCAGTGTGTGCGAGGATCATCAGCACCTGCTGGGTGCCCAGCGCTGCCCGGGGCCAACACGACAGGAGGCCACAGAAAGGGCTGTCACCTGGCCTGCCCTTAGGGAGCTTCTGTCTAACCGGAACACGAGACCTGCCCACTCAGAACCCAGACACAGGGGGAGGGAGCGAAGAAAGTGTGGAGCGATTCAGACTCAGCAACGGAAGTCAAGGCCTGTTCTTCAACTTCACTAGCTGAGTGGCTGCTAATGTGAGCAGAGAGCCCAACTGTAGGGCCGTGGTGAAATGTAAATCTCTTGGCACACAGACGCTCAACAGACGATGCTGGAAGACAGCAGTGATGTAATAATAACAACGCTCACTAGGGGCCAGGCACTGGTCTAGTGACTTATTTAATTCTCAGTATGCATGGCGCAGAGTGGTTCAGGAACTTAGCCCAGGTCACATAGCTAGGACGTGGTAGCGTCAGGGTAGGGACCCAAGTGGTTATTAGGGTTATAAGTATCTGCAGTTAAGCCGGTCTAGCATGAACCGTGCATGAAGTTCCCAGGGAGGAAGCATGAGGCCGGAGTGGCTGGGAAGGCCACCAGAGGAGGTGGAACTCGGCCAGATTTGGAAGGTGGGAGGGCATCCCGGGAGGGCGAGCACACCCACACACAAAGGCTCAGCAGCAGAAAGTGTCCTTTAAGGGCAAACACTATCATCTCCCGAAAGACTGGGGGCCTTGTCCCAGGTTCTCCAGGTCCCGGTGGAGGGATCCTGACTCCCGTTCCTCTGACTCTTTCCTTCCAGAAAAGTTAAGATATTCAGCAGGCCCTGAGACTGGTCTGATTGAAGGCAGAGGGCCACCTTGAACTCAGGACCTTGGGTCTCAGGCCTCAGAGCCTTCTGATAATGTCCCCCCACCCCGCACCCCCCGCACCCCTACCCCCCACCTTGTTGGAAGTACTCTGTGGAGGCCTCTCCACAGCTGTCCCCTCTCCCTGGCCAGCAGGCTCCAACTGCTACTCAGTGATTTGGAGCCAGACACGTCAACACTGTTTGCCTTTTGATTTTCCACTTACTGAACCGCATGTCTTTGGGCAAATTCCCCAACTTCTCCGAGACTCAGGCTCCTTAACTATAAAATGGGACAATAACACCCACCTCCCGGGAGAGCGTGCAAATACCCCAGCCCCACACATGGCCCCCTGGAGTCCTCAATGTCTGGGAGTCATGTATTATCAGAGCAGACCCCAGCCCCCAGGGCGCCCACCTCACCTCATAGATGTTGAACTGGCTCTGCCCACGGGCCAGCTCCCGGTAGCTGGTGGTGAACTCCCCGATGAAGTCGTGGCTGCAAGGGAAGGGCTGCCGCTGAGACCAAGCGGCCCAGGCCGCGCCTTGCCTCTGCCCACCTCCCTGCCTCCCACATCCCTTCCCCTGGCTCCCCATTCTGCTTGGGGCCCCTGCTGCAGGGTCGCATGCCAACAGAGAAGCTGGGTCCCTGGGGAAGTGTCCAGGGTCACCCATGGGGCGGGAAACCCAGTGGTCACCTAGCAAAGTGCGGGGCCTCGGACGACAGGACCCGCTTGGTACTCGGGTTCTTGTCGGAACAAACCAGCCGTGCAAGGGATTTTGAGGACAACTGGAGAAATTTAAATATGAAACGAATATTCGGTGGTATTCAAGAATGATTGTTCCGTGCGTCAGGTGTGATAATGGCATTCGCAGTTATGTAGAAAAAGGTCCTTATTTTTTAGACGTTCTCAATGAGATATTTAGGGGTAAAAACGCCTTGATGTCTGTAATTTAAACTACATCAGCAAAACACAGATAAAGCAAATGTGGCAACATGTAACACTTGTAAAATTCAGATGATAGGCTTAAAAGCATTCATTAAACTCGCCTGTCTTTCTGCGTATTTGGACATTTTCCCAATAACACTTTTTGAAAAGGCCATTTACGCTATGTCCACCCAGGCAGCTGGAGGTGTTTTCTGCGGCGGCCACACCTCCTGGGACTGCCCCCACTGTCACTGTCCCTGGTAGAGGGAACCTGGAGTGCCTTCCGGGGAGTGATGCCCAAGGCGTGTCCCCGGGGCCTGGCTCTGCCTTGAGTCCACACTGTATTTTGACTACGTATTTCTAGCTCTCTGCATTCAGACCATAAGCTCCTCGATGGCAGGCCTCTACGGCATCTGGTGGCTGTCCCCAGTTTTCCCCAGTGAAGGAGAAATACGGGGAGCTCCCGGGTAAGATGAAGTAAATCATGGGTGGAAACATGGAGCTGACGTGCCTGTGATGTGGTTGAAGAGGGGAGGACAGGGGGACAGAGCGAGTTTACAGGTGCTGGGGCACTGGTGTCCTCTCTTGGAAGGCCTTGGGGTAAGGTGAGCTACTTGGCCCTGCCAGGGCCTAACTTAGAGCTGTCTGCACAGCCCTTTACAGTACCTCCTATCCACGTCGCAGACTTGAGAGGCATCGATAAGGAGTACGGGCCTCTGCAACGCCCCTGGCAGTCCCACAGAATGGAGGAGTCACAAACATCAGGGCGTATTTGGCTTTGGTCCAACAGACAAGTAGGAGCCAGTGAGGTTTCTGGACTACAGCCACAGGAGGTCCCCTCTGGTCCTCATCTGTGAATTCCCAGTGAGGCTGCTCCCTGGGAGCACATTCACAGACAGGGAGGGCACTGACCTCCCCAAACCCGACTGGAAAGTGCCACCCTACTGGCCAGGCTCGGCCCTACTCAGGTACTGCTTCGTGGCTCTGGAGACCATTCAAGTGTGTCAAAGCTTGCATTTCCCGGGGCGCCCGGGTGGCTCAGTCTTAGTAAGCATACTTCGTGGTTTCGGCTCAGGTCATGATCTCACGGTTCATGAGTCGGGCTGTCTGCTGACAATGCGGAGCCTGCTTGGGATTCTCTCTCTCCTGCTCTCTCTGCCCCTCCCCTGCTCTGTGTCTCAAAATAAATAAACTTAAAAAAAAAATAAAAAGCTTACACTTCCCAAAGCCGACTCCCTCAGGGCCTGCTCCCTGCAAACAGATCCTCTGATGCACCAAGGGCCTCCCCACTAGATTCGGGGGAGTCTCTGAGGGCTGAGCTTGTCTTCTGTGCCCGGTCACCCGGGCCTCTGTGTGCTTAGCCTCACACAGAGAACACATCCATGAATGCTTGGGGGGGGTCGCTCGGGGGTTGCTAGTTTCTGTACATTAGGATATGCACATTTCAGAAAATTCTAATTCTCCCAAATGTAAGGAGATTTTAGTCACTGGCCAGCCGCTAGGCAGCTATTTCGGGAAAAGAGGCCTCTTATGCCCCTGGAACCTGTCATGCAGGTCACAGAGCCTCTGGTGCTTCAGTGGAGCTGGGCAGGGATAAGCCACTGGAGCAGGGGACCTCCCACAGGAAGACCCTCTCGCCCCCAGAGCTGTCCCCATCCCTGCTCACCTTTTGTCCTCCTGCCTGCTTACCTGCCATCACGATCCCAGTCGTACACCTCCACCTTGATGGTCCTGCAAGGCAAAGGGCCCATGGTGGGATGAACTTGACCTAGCATCTGTGGGGCCTGAACAGGACCCTTCCCCTGCTCCTGGGCCAAAAGGGGATACAGGGCCCCCCACTAGGCTCCAGCTGCCCTCACTGGAGACGCAGCAGCCCAAGAGACAAAGGAACTATCTTGAGGCCTTTTGGCTAAGGTCTTAGGGACAGTGGCAGCCCGAAAGCTGTGTAGGGACTCCCCCAAGTTTCAGGGAGAATGTGGAAAAACAGCTGCAGACTTCAGTTCACCCCACCTTCTCCTTGGCCACCCCAGAAGGGACACAGGTCCCAGGATGAAGCCATATTGTGAATTTATCAGGGGCGGGGCTGTTGTGGCGGAGCGAGGCGCCCCCCAGATCTCAGGCCTAACCAGTCTGGGCTCTCCTGGGGAGGGGGCGACAAGACTGCAGGTGTGTGTGGTGGGACCCCCGGGTCTGAGGAGTCTGAGTGACGGGGAGCCAGCCCAGCAGGGAAGGACCCAGAGCCCCTGACTGGGGGATGGCCTGCTGAGCTTTTCCATTGCCACGACTGGCTCCTGAGTGAGGGTGTAATTATCTTCACATTTTAGCCTGGCTGCTTTAATTAGTTTGTTTTGACTCCTGTGCATGGGGCTGGGCTTTGGGAGCCTATTTTATTTTTAGCTCGTTTCCATGGCAACAGGCTAGCAGACCAGAGGTGGGAGGAGGGAGGTGGAGGGCTGCGGGTTAACCCTTGGTGCCAGTGGTCCTCCAGGGACGCCCAGGCAGGGACGAGGAGGGGGGAGCTGCCAGGGTCCCACTGCAGGGTCAGGGTCCGGGGAGGCGGGATAGGCGTGGGGAGCCGGGGTCTCCAGCCTTCAGTCCTAAATGGGGCTCGCACAGACCCGTGCCTGGGCCCGTCTTCTATTAACATCTCATCATCTCGCCCATGGCCGCAGCCCATCTCCTCGGGTCTGCGAGGAGTAGGCCTCGGGACTGCGCAGCGCCCAGCAGGAGGCGCTGTCCCCCTTCAGATGCGCCTTCACGGCCCCCGGGGCGGGGTGCCGATCCGCCTGCAACAGGGCACATAACTGTTCCCAATGAGGGAACGTCTTGTAGGTTGTGCACCAACCGGATTTTTGTTACCAAAATGTAAAATGGGGCAGGCACAGAAGCCCACCATTTAAAGGAACCCTCTAAATTCTTGTGAAAAACAAAAATACTATGTCTCTCTGAGGTGAATTGTGTGGAAAGAAAAAAAAAAATCTAGGCTCCTGAAGGTAGCTGATGAGCTGGAAAGAGAGGAAAGAGGCTGGGGTGCAGACTCAGATGCTGTGGGACCTGGGGATGTCACTGAACCTCTCTGAGCCACAGACCATCATCTTCAAGGAGGGACAACAGCAGCCTTGCAGAACAGCTGCAAAGCAAGTCGGCAAACCCCGCCTGGCACACAGATGGGTCTCTATAAACATGCCTCTTCCTGGGGCGCCTGGGTGGCTCAGTCGGTTAAGCACCCGACTCTTGGTTTGGGCTTGGGTCACGATTTCACGGTTTGTGAGACGGAGCTGGGGCATCGGGCTCTGCGCTGACAGCACAGAGCCTGCCTGGGATTCTTTCTCCCTGCCTCTGCCCTCCCCGTGTGTTCTCTCTCTCTCTCTCTCTCAAAAATAGATAAATAAACATTAAAAAAAAAAAAAAAAAGGAAAAAATGCCTCGTCCTCCTCACTTGGGCATTTGGCCACACTTGGATAGTTTTTCATATGAAATTTATTTAAATCAGGGACACCCATGCCTGGGTACCTGGGCTCTGCCACTTCCAACTCCTAGAACGACAAGGCTGGACATGACCTTCGTGGCGTCCAAGCCGGGCCACATGGCAGATCACCAGACACACACAGCCCCAGGTCCAGTTCTTGGCAGCTCTGGGCAGTGCCCCGGGATCTAGTTTAAAGGTTTCCCTAGCGCCTCTGCTGTGCATGTTCCAGAGTGATAACCTCCAGCCCCCTCATATTCGGATGGGGAAACTGAGCCCTAAGAGCTCCCAGTGATGTGCCCAGGGTCACAGAGCGGGTGAGGGTCAGAGCCAGGACCCTGCCTCACAATGCCAAAGTCCCCCAGTCCTTCCCAGAGCCATGCAGCTCTGTAGGGGACATTCAGGAACCCCAGGGAGGAGTGCTGGTCACCAACACCAGCCTCTCAGGCGACTCGATCAGTGACAGCCACATGCTCAGAGGCTGTAGGAGGACCTCAGTTACAGCCACAGCCTTGGATACCCAAAAAAAATCACTGGGGAGCTTTTCTTTAAAACTCCCAGGGCCACAGGGCCTGATTCAATTGGTCTGGATAGTACTTGGGCACAGGTAGCTTTGGTCAGTCCCCTGGTTGACTGGAATGTGCTCCAGAACCACTGACCTTCTCCAGATGAGAGCACTGATTTTCCAACCTGGTTGCATACTGGATCCCTGGCGAGCATTAGCAATCCTGAGGCCAATGCCTCACCCCAGAGGTTCAGAATCAGTTGGTCTGGGGTACGGCCTGGGCAGGGGGATTGTTAAAAGCTCCTTGGGGAATGTGACATTGCAGCCGAGGTAAAGACCACTTGGAGTGTGGATTCCTGTGTAAACCCACCCCGGCCTCAGCTGAGGCTCTAGGGATGGCTGCAGTTTAGGGGGTCAGATTAGCTCAGAGACTGCAGCCTCCAGCGCTGGGGGAGAAGGAGGTGAGAGAAACGGCACCCAAGACAGGGGAAGGCAGAGGCAGAAGCCAGACACGGCTCTGACTACTCTGGACAGTTCTGTCACTGTCCAGCCCTGGCTGGGCTGCCCTGGGTCACCTCGTGTGCCACTTGTGGGCTGCGGGCCTTGGCTCCAACCCCTTAGCACAGGCCTAATAAAGGCTCATATCAGACCAACTGTGATTTCTGGGGACCGCACAATAGAGAAGGGGCTCCTGGGTACAGGACAGTGAAATGGGCCTCTGTTACCCACAGAATGAACGTCTTATTTGACATTGAAGGCTCAGAACATGGAGCCCCTAATCTGAGAGGCAGTGAGGTGGCCGGAGAAGGCTGCAGGCTCTGGGGCAGTCCCAGTTCCTCCAGGTACCAGCTGTGTAGCCCTGTGCAACTGGCCTACCCCTCAGGGACTCTGTTTACCCCTCTGTCAAATGGGATCATCGTACCCACTTTGGAGTGCTGTGAGGAGTCAACTATGTCATTCCCGCATCATTCACCCCAGCACTGGACACGTGCTGTTCTGTTCCATCCAGAGCACTCCAGCCTTTTGTCCAAGACCCTGTCTCCCAAACAATCCCCTATTCACCATGAAAATATCAGCCCCACGACACTAGGGATTTTTGTGTGTTTTGTTCACCGACGTATCTTCAGCTTCTAGAACAGTGCCTAGCATATGGTAGGGAACATAAGTATTATTCAATGCCCGTTGCCTGACTACGATCTAACAACTCCGAGAAGTTACCACCCAGTAACAATCCCCTCCTTCCACAAAATCACAAAGGGAAGCCCAGGGTGTGTGGCTTTCCCCAGGTCACAAGGCGGCTCTGCAGAGCTGGGTGTGTGTGAGCCTCAGCAGGGCAGCAGGGATGAGGGACGCTGGCAAAGGCCGCAGGCCCCCCTCTTGACACGCCACTGGCACACGGGCAGCATAGTCTGCCCCCCCTGCCCCAGCAGAGGTGCAGGTCTGCCTCCTAATGAGCGTCTCCCGGGGCAGGAAGAGGAACTGGGCTGACAGGTCCCCTCGCCTGATTGAGTCAGCCCCCCAGTCAACAGTCCTAGAGGCTTCTAGGCCAAGAAGAGGGGGTGTCAGGCCTCACTGAGCAGGCAGCGAGACCGGATGGCAGCGCTCCATGCAACCCCAGCCGTACGGCAGGGGCCTAACCTCTTCTGTCGCAGTTCACTTTCTGCACGTGCGAGCTGGGGAGGACAGAACTCTCCCAACCCAGGGCACATGTAGTGGCTGGGTTCAGAGGAGAAGCACTTCCCTTCTCCAGCAGGCTGGCAGAAGCACATGAAGCTTCTATGAGGTGCGAGCCCCCAATTCTGGGGAATCCTCTCCCCAGATGAGGACCCAGGACAACTGACCCTCTTAAAAATCCACTCATTCAACATTAAGGTGTGAGTGAGTGAGTGAGTGACAGCATCCCAACCAGGGCAATCTGGCTTAAGGGGACTAAATCCTCAAATCACAGAAGGTTCAAGGAGAGAGAAGGGGGACTTCAGGAAAGGCAGGGGAAGTGCTTCTTGTCATCACCCACTTCACTCCACTGGAGGGCTGGACTTGCTCTGATCTGGAGGCCAGCTCCCCTGATTCCAACTGTGCTCAGCTGGCTCGTGTGGGTTTGGCCCGGAGACACAGCAAAGGCAGGGGGACCCCAAACCGGAGGGCCAAGCCAGAGGCGACTTGTGGAGAAGAGAAATGTCCCTTCTCCTTGTTTTGGCAAGATACAGAAGCTCCAGGCCTCCGTTTCCCCATCTGTGAAACGGGCATGTCACTAGTACCCAACTTCTGGGTTACTAGTGCGATTTAAATGCACAAAATAAGAGAATGCATTCAAACCAACTAGGACACAATTTGGCCCATGTCTGAAAGACTCAGCAATCTTAACTCATTTCCACCCCCCACCCCCGACTCCCATCATGGCAGGAAAACCATCCTTTCTCACAGATCCCTGGTTCTCATCCTCCTGGCCTCTTGTTCATGATAGGAGTTGATAACTCCTGTTTGGATTCTCCCCTCTCAGCGCCCTGCTCACAGCCGCCCTCCCTGCGTACCCTGCTAGCTCTCCGACCATCTCCGCTTCGCTCTCCTGCTTCCAACCTGTACGGAGGCCTTGGGCACCCCACCTCTGCCAGCTCTCTGTCCCCCCGCCCCCTTGGCAGAGCATCGCTGTGCCTGTCCCACAGCCCCTCACCCTGGCTCCCTGTCACACTTCCGTTTCTGTCGCTTGACCCCAGCTCCAAACACTAATGACCTTGACTTCCCTTTCACCCCCTGATCTGGGCAGATGTCGAGGCTTTTGAGTCTTTCTTCCACCTCCAGGCTCAAAGCAGATCTGCCCCAAGGCCCTGGGCGAGCCCTCCTCCAAACGTACCCCGCTCACACCCGTCTCAGCCACCTGGCAGCAGACTGAAGGTCAAGAACACGGATTCTCTAAGCAGCCTGCCTGGTTCCAAACCCTAATTCCACCACCGACTGGCAGTAAGACACCGGGGAAGCTACTTCACCTCTCTGGCCTCCGTTCCTTTACCTGTAAAAGGTGGATAGTATGAGCACCTTTTTCAGGGGAAAGACTAATCGTTGGGAGAATTAAATTAGTTCATAGACATAAATTACCACGGAGGTGCTACAGGAGTCTTTGCTCTCATTATTATTATTATTATTATTATTATTATTATTATTACCTGTCTGCCTCCCATTCTGGCCTGGGAGCAACCTAACAGGGAGACTTGGGTCTGACGCTCAGAATGCCCACGGCACGCAACCTGGTGCCCAGTGCTGGCTGGCTTGGAAAACGAGGCTGTTAGATCAAGTTGAATGTGTTCTTGTGAGGCTTCAAGAGGTACCTCAGACGGAAGAGGAAAGGTGGCTTTGTTTTCTTGCACAAACCCCTCCCCTTCCTCCCCTGAGAGGGCCTCCCGGACATCTGCACCTCCCAAGTGGCTGTTGGGTACATAGGTCACCCTGGAGCACAGCAGCAGACAGGCCTGCTCGTTTTCCAGGCCAGCGTGACATGCCTGGCCCCTCCATTAACAATACCATCAGTCATTTCACTTCACGGTCAATCTGTTCCTGGCTGTGGAGAAGGACCCAGCTGCCTGGCCATTCTGCAGGGAAACTGGTCTGGGGCTCAGCCTGGGAGGGGGAAATGGGGGCCTGTGGGGGTGTTCCCCACCATCTGCACCCTCCACCACACCCTCACCTCCTCCAGTGGCTGCACAGTGACCCCAGGCCTCTGAGCCCGGCTGCCCTCCTCACTGTCCCCGACGAGGTTGGGTTCTGAGCGTGCAGGGCTGTGGGGGGTCAGCTGGACCCCCAACAGCCTCTGGGCAGAGGAGCCAGAGATCTCAATTCCTCCCACCCTGTGCAACTTGACCTGCCAGGCTCTCCCATCCCTCAGCCTTGAATTTCCCCTCCCTCTTCCTTTCATCTCAACCATTCTTCCAGGAACTGATACCCCCAGCTCCTCCCAGCCTTCCCCAAGCCTCCTTTTCACCCTGCTGCTCCAACCAGACCGTCCTCCCAGCCCCCAGCACCCCAGAAGCCTCAGGACCCGGTCAGACACATACCAGGGGTTCATTTGGCTGGAATGCCTATTTTTGTCTCCAGTCTTATTTTTGCACAATTATTTAGCTATCTAAAATGCAGATGTGCACACATCTGAACTCCCTGTGGTCAGACTTCAAGTTCCCTCAAGATGGAAACGTGGCTACATTTATATTCCCCTGAGTGCCACACAGCTGCTGGCATAGTGGAGCCAGCCTCTGTGACTGCCTCTGGAGGTGCTCAGTGACAGCCTTTGGAGCAGATCGTGGCTGTTCTGTTCCCAACAGAGAGGCAGGAAAAGGAGCCACTTCATCTCC